AATCGCAGTGGGTTGTCAATGGCGGCCTAAACTATCTGCTCAAGAATAGTAGCCGTATGACGTCATAGGCGTGTGGGCGTAATCGTTAAACAAAATAATTTAAAGAACTGGGCTTTGCACTCAGATCGGAATGTTCTGCTTTCCTAGGTTAAATACGATGCATGATTCATAGTTGTTCTATCGTTTGGGCTCTATACTGTGTTTGAGTTTATAATATTGAACGTATAAGTTTTGTTGAATATGATGAGAAATTATTATCCAAAAGCCCGAACACAGACACCCTCACTCGTGGCGGCGCGATGTGAAGTTGCACACGCATACGGCAAACACTCACATACGTGACACACTGCACGCAGATACGCGTGTACACGGGCGCACGACCAACACAAACACGCACATGAGTGCGCATACACAACACACACGATCGGACACACAACACACACCAGCACACACAGCACGGTTTGATACACAGGCACACACAACACACACACACCAACACCACACCACACACACCACACCCCACACACTAACTCACCCGCACGCACAGCAGCGGGGCACGCACGCAACGCACGCACGCGCCGCGCACACACAACAGCACACACACAACACACACAACACACACACACACACACACACACACACATACATGGGAATAGTAACGAGTGTGTGCACATGTTAATAATCCGTGTTGTCTGTTGTTCTACGTAGCAGTTGTACATATAAGCATCGTAGCGTAGGCAAGCAAGACCGGTAGGCACGCGATCGGAACAAAATAAATTTACCCCTAGGTAAATAGGCCGTTGAACTTGTATAGAAAGAATCGTATAATTATGGCGTTTTGCACCGCACAGACGAATGGCGATACCTCCGCGTAAGATCAATAGAAGCGGTGATCGGCGTGACGATCATCTCGGCGTGATGACGTCAGCATTCTAAGTGCTATCGTGTAAATTTCCAATGGCTGCGGGAGCTAATAGCGCGTGAAGACGCGCGTGCTAGAAGGCCGCTAAGTAACGTTGAAAATGCCACATTCGCGCAGTAACAGCTGAAGTGCTGACATCCTAGCGGAGCGTGCGTGCAACACTTACACCCGTCGATCATGAGAAATCTATTGCATCCTCAGAAGCAGAATACACTATTTTTAATACTATCAGTAGTTACCCGTACTACGAAACTGTTATAACTGACATATGCTGTCAATGAATATGTATATATATATATTATATCTATATATATATATATAATATATATCACAGTGCGTGTTTGCGTGTCGCTTGAAATTCGTTATATATTATAATGCGTGCATAATATATGTAATATATATATATATAATATATTATATATATATTATATGCCACATTACATAATATATATATATATCCGCAAACCAGTTGGCCGACCATAATAATATTCATTTGACTGTTAACTCATCGTTGTGTTTGTACTTGATTTTTGATGTTTGGTTTGATTTTTTTGTATGCAACTAAGTGCGTTTTAAGTGTTTTTGTAATATAGGCGGATCTTTTCCATTAATTCTTTTAATTAGAGATGTCGTAATTATGCACGTAGTTTGCTAACCGAGGGTCAACAGAACGCCTTACGCAACACATGGTGATCGCACTCGCGCATCGTGCGGCGTCTGAGGGATGTCTCACATATCAGTACACACGAGCGAGCTACGCACGCACGCAACACTTACCATCTCCCGCACGCACGACCGCAGTGTTTGGGTTGTGGTTCGTCCTGCTTGAATTCTTTTTATTCTGCAACGCACAGCACACACACACACCACATCACAAGACTTTCACAGACAGGGCCACACAGAGAGAGAGACACACACACACACAGGACACACACACACACCACACACACACACCCAAACAGAACAAACAAACACACATACACACACACACACATTCCACACACATTTTCACACACAAACAAACAAACAAACACACACACACACACACACACACACACATTGTCACCTAGTCATCGCTGGGCCCTCTCTCCTCGTGACACATTTTCCGTACAAGAAACACACCCTCAGGGCACGCGCATGCGCACTACCACCGCACCTATGTGAGAAAACTAAGCAGAGTTTAGTTGAAACGCGACAGGTTTTAAGTGCTCGACCCAAATTCAATCGCGCAAGTTCTGCAACCAGCGGCTGCACTGCTGCTGTCATCTTGTCTTACCCAATAAAATTGTATGTTGTTAGACTTGTTGCGCCTACATTTTGTCGCAACTGTTGCTGTCTCTATACTATTGGATTTGACCGTCGCCAGCGCAACAGCAACATCTGTAATTCAGAACCGACGACTTTACGATCAATTGCACGCTAGACAACTGCTTGAGAACTTTATACTTCATAACAGCGTTTCACAAAGTTAAACTTGTTTTAACTTGTTTTAATGTGAAGTTTTACGTTGCTGCTATCTTAGCAGATGCAATGTATGATCGCTTTAGCTTTTTTGAGAAATATTTAATCTTTAAACTTTCGGTAATTATTTATTTGTTATCCGGGCAGAAAGAAGGTGACGAGTGTGGAGTATAGCTTAGCGTAATTTTTAACCATTTTAAACATTAATTGTTTCGATCGTTACGCTGACGTCTGGTACGTCTCTACGCAGGTTCAGTGCAAAACAACTGCAAATCGTAAACAACCGTGTAATAGTTTGGCTACGATATACAGTACGATGGCTGCGAAACAGCGAATGAGATCACTATATAACAGCACTCAGAAGACAGAAGTGCACGAACGACGGAGATTTATGCACGCTTTTCCGCCGTGTTGTTGCCCCGCGGAACAATTAGCTTAGTGACCTATACTCGCTCGACGCTAGAGTCCGTTAACCACATGGCTATACTCAACAACGAAAGCAAAACAGTTTTCAGACAAACGATGTTTAGCGTCCGCCGCACACATGGATATAATCAACAATCGATGTAATGAATACGTGGGGGTGACACGTAGCGAGACAGTTTTCAGGACAAACGACGTTGCCGTCGCCGGATAGGAAAGCGTTCTAGCTCACGACAGTTTAAATGTCCGCCGGTCATTAGGACACCTCGGTGATGACGCACGAGCTAATCACACACACGGCAATCCGTCATTTATACTAATGATGGCTCTAGTAGGTGCTCGGCCCCGCCCTCTAGCGGTCGATGACTCTACGGTTAGTTGCCATGACCTGGCATATTTAAACGCGCGCTCTTTCCAGTGCAAGGGTTCAGTCGGTTGGGCATATGTTGTCGTGAGGATATATTGGCAGGACCTAAGAGTGAGTACGGAGATTAGGCGTCGTTGCGCGGTGGTCGACGACAGAGAAGATTTTACGGTGCGGTTTTGGTTTTGATATTTTGTGCTCGTGTGAAGTAGGTTTCGATATCGCTGTTCGTATGAGAATTGGTTTCGATATTGGTGCTCGTGTGACGTTGCTTGTGATTTCATCTGTTCATGTGTCCGTGTGTATGTTGGATTTGATTTTGATTTTGTTTCGGACCAATAGGCTTTTCCTATAGCAAACGCTGCCGAGTGAGAACAACGTCATCAAATCATGCGCTTAGAATACGTCATCGCTGCCGCGCTGGCACTGGCCTTCCTTCCCCACCACGCGCGTAAGCATCGGTGGCGACTTCTGTAGAGAGATGTCACCTTGTTCGCTTTTATTCTTGGCTGGCTTTATTCATGTCGAGTGAAACTTACAGACGCAGTGTGTGAATTATTGACCACATGAAGTGTTGTTGCTCACGTGTCAGTGTGTATGCGCGCCGGTCGAGTTAAACTGAAATAGATGGTGACAAGAAATACATAATCAAAACTTCCTATCTCTCCCGCTCTTTGTGCACATGTTAATAATCCGTGTTGTCTGTTGTTCTACGTACAGTTGTACATATAAGCATCGTAGCGTAGGCAAGCAAGACGGTAGGCACGCGATCGGGAACAAACATAAATTTACCCCTAGGTAAATAGCCGTTGACTTGTATAGAAAAGAATCGTATAATTATGCGTTTTGCACCCACAGACGATGGCGATACCTCCCGCGGTAAGATCAAAGAAGCGGTGATCGCGTGACGTCATCTCGCGTGATGACGTCAGCATGTCAAGTGTCTATCGTGTATTTCCAATGGTGCGGGAGCAATAGCGCGTGAAGACCGCGTGCTAGAAGGCCGCTAGTAACGTTGAAATGCCACCATCGCGCAGTAACGCTGAAGTGCTGACATCTAGCGGGAGCGTCGTGCAACACTTACACCCGCGATCATGAGAAATCTATTGATCTCAGAAGCAATACAATATAGTCGTTACCCGTACTACGAAATCTGTTATAACTGAATATGCTGTCAATAATATGTATATATATATATTATATCTATATATATATATATATATATATCACAGTGCGTGTTTGCGTGTCCCTTGAAATCGTTATATATTATAATCGTGCATATATATATATATATATATATATATATATATATATATATGTGCTTACTGTTGCGATTCGCGCTGTCGTGCTTTGTTTCGAGTAGTTTTAGTCTCGCTAGAAAAACGCGCGCGCTCACACAAAACGACATGCAATCCGCAAATACACGCACGCGCGCACGCACGCGCACACACGCGTGTTCGATGTATAATACCAGAAACCTAACTGCTCCCATTTCGGCTTTACTGCCACCAGGGAGCGCTGCGTCGTTGCTAACCATGATCACCAAGTCCCACTATTCAGCGCAGGACATGGGGGGAGGGAAATGTGAATCATCATCATTAGCAACAGCAGCAGCAACAGGAGCAGCAGCAGTAGCAGTAGCAATAGCAACAGCAGCAGCAGCAGCAGTAGCAGCAGCAATAGCAACAGCAGCAGCAGCAGTAGCAGTAGTAGCAGCAGCAGTAGCAACAGTAGCAACAGCAACAGCAGCAGCAGCAGCAGTAGCAGCAGTAGCAGCAGTAGTAGCAGTAGTAGCAACAGCAACAGCAGCAGCAGCAGCAGTAGCAGCAG